TATATATATATATATATATATGTATATATATATAATATTTTTATTTTTATTTATTTATTTGCACTGCATCAAGGAAAGTGTAATTATTTTATGTAAAATTGTAAAAAACCAGCTTATTGTACCTAACACTTATATTGAATAATTGGCCATAACCACTACCCTCCGTGACAGGTGAGCAACGCCGACCACCGCCCAACGACTAACATCAACCACTGTCGATCATCTGCCTTCTCCGACCCCTACTTGCAATCATTGTAGCCAAACTACGACCTCTGTAGTTAATTGTCGTTATTGCATCAACCAACTACGATATTTATCGACAACTATTGTTATTATCGAAATAACCAACTATGACATTTCTTGTCAACTATTATTAGTATAGCTTCCAACTACAATCTTTATAAACAACTATCACTGTTGCAACTACCAACTCCAATATTTATAATCACTTATCACTACTATTGCAATAATCAACTACGACATTTGTGGCAAACTACTACGGCAACAATAGCAAACCTTTAGCCCACTAAGGGGGGCTGGCCACATAATTTTTTTTCCTCTATTGTCTTATTGAGTGTCATATTTTCATTTAATTATAATAGATTAAGATAATTTTTTATACAATATGCGAAATTCTTTTTAGCTCTTTTTCTGTCTTCATTAACATATGTCGGATCTAAAACATATACTCTCCTAATCGGATTATCAAATGATCGACGCTTAATGTGACCAAACCATCTAAAACGATTCTCTCTAATCTTGTATGCCACTGACAGTGGTCATTGCCCGTCGACAGACCATCGACCCCCTATGGTCTCTACTTGCAACTATTGTAATGCAAATATAGTTGTTGTGTCAAACACCTATATATATATATTTGCACTGCATCAAGCAAAGTGTAATTATTTTATGTAAAATTTTAAAAAACCAGCTTATTGTATCTAACACCTATATTGAATAATTGACCATAACCACCACCCTCTGCGACAGGTGAGCAACGCCGACCACCACCCAACAACTAACATCAACCACTGTTAACCATCTGCCTTTCTGACCCCTACTTGCAATCATTGTAACCAAACTACGACCTCTATAGTTAATTGTCGTTATTGCATCAACCAACTACGACCTTTATCGACAACTATTGTTGTTATTGAAACAACCAACTATGACATTTTCTTACTATTATTATTATAGCTTACAACTATAATCTTTATAAACAACTATCACTATTGCAACTACCAACTCCAATATTTATAATCACTTATCACTACTATTGCAATAATCAACTACGACATTTGTGGCAAACTACTACGGCAACAATAGCAAACCTTTAGCCCACTAAGGGGGGCTGGCCACATAAATTCTTTTTCTCCATTGTCTTATTGAGTGTCATATTTTTATTTAATTCTAATAGATTAAGATAATTTTTTATACTATATGCGAAATTTTTCTTAGGTCTACCTCCGTCTTCATTCACATATGTCGAATCTAAAACATCTACTCTCCTAATCGGATTATCAAATGATCAACGCTTAATGTATGAATTATCAAATGATCAACGCTTAATGTGACCAAACCATCTAAGATGACTCTCTCTAATCTTGTCTGCAACTAGAGCTAAATCAACCCTTTCATGAATATATTCTTTTCGCATTTTGTCACTAAGTGTCGAGCCACTCGTCCATCTAAGCATTCTTATCTCAACGGCACTTATCTTTGTTTAATGCTTCTTTTTTAAAGGCCAACATTCTTCACCATAAAGCATTGGAGATCTCACTACCATTTTTTATTTTCCTTTAAGGCTAAGCGATACTTTTCTATCACACAATAAGCACGACGCATTCCTCCATTTCAACCAACCAACTATTATTGTTACAATTTTCAACTACGACATCTGTGAAAAAATGTCACTATTGCCGCCACCCACAACCACAACCATTTTTACGATCAACCAATGTTTTTATAGCAACAAGTTATGAACTTTGTGGTCAATTACTATTATTACAACTTTCAACTACACCCTCCGCAGCCAATTGCTACTATTGCAACTACTAATCACAACTTTTATGACCAACCACTGTCTTTATAACAACCGGCTACAATTTTTGGACTCAATAATAATTGTTACAACTTTCAACTACAGTCAACGTGACCAACTGCCATTATTACAGTCAAACAATCTCTACGACCAACTGTCGATATTGCAGTTATCGTCTACAATATTTATGATTAATTACTGTTTTGTAGTAATTAACTACGACCCTTATGACCAACAATTGCTGTTATAATCAAGAATAACATTTTTTTGTTGACAAATTAAGACTATTATGACTAAAAGATTATTGTACATTTGTGATTATCAACTTTGTAATTTTATATTTTTTAATTCAAGAGAAGAGTGAACATATGTAATTAAAATTACAATTACATATTGAATTAATTAAATTGGACTACGTTACCTGATTGTAAAGATCTATCTGAGAAGAAATAATTGGTATATATTCCTGCTATTTTTTCTTTGAATGTCATTCTACCGCCACGAATTTTCACACATACAATATATATACGAAATAAGGTGTTGATTATATAAATAGAAATATTTCAAAAGCTTTGCATGCAATTTGTAATTTCCCCCTTAAAATTATGAGTGACAGTGAAATCATTAGAAATCTTATGTTAATTTATCCATAATAGAAAAACAGTATTTTGTTAATAAAAATTGATGAAATTTAAAATTAGGGATAATTACATGCATAGCATTCAAAATTTTATTATTTACAAAATCAACATCCTAGTCAAATTTTTTAACAACTAAATTAATGTATTTCCACATGTCAACATCAAATCATAAGAAATCTGATAAAAATTAAAAAAATATGATTCATGTGAGTGAAATTTTGAATAGTGAATAAAATACGGTACTAATTATATAAATTGAAATTTTTCGAAAGCTCGCATGTAATTTCAGCGCTATTTACGTACGTCATACACACATAATTCTGCGTGCATATGACCACGAATGAAATTACAATAACTCAATTATTGGAGTTTATTAAGAGGTTATTGAGGGTATTAACCCCAATAACATTTCAATAAACTACCAATATATTTCGTGGTTGGGCGCTCATATTTTTTATTATTTTGTTTTGTGAGATTATTAAGGATATTAACTTCAATAACAAGGTCATAAGCCCGCAATACCCTCTAAATAACCTTCGCAATTTTGTACATAAATATTTGTAAATCCGCAAAAAATTAAAAATTAACTCTTTCAAGAACCGTAGAAAGCTAAAGGTCGCTAAAATTAGCAGCGCGGTCGGCCATACAGAAATTAATCCATCCAGTTGCCCCATGCCTCAAATATTATTATCCTTCTAACACGCATATTTGTTCTCATTCCTTTTCCCTGTTGGCCGACAGCTCGCTCTCACGTCTTCTACTCCGCAAAGATTTCAAGGCAGCTCGAGATCCAATCTAGATCTCGATCCGTCTTTCGAGGGTGAGTGATTCACGTTTTAGCTTCCAGTTTCTTGCAGTGTTTTCTGCTTGATTTCTCTGTGTTTGATGGGATTCCCGTGAGCTTGCGTCGGATCCACGCGCTTTTCAGGCATTTGTTTCTTGATTCAAAATTATAAACAATGCGGCTCTTGTGATGAATTTTGATGAGTTCTCAGGTAGATTTTTTATTGATGCGTTATTGTGATTCCCGATTTCATCCATTTATTAGTTTTTGGATTCAGATTCGTGGGGGAGTTGCGAGCATGAGCAAATTTTTTTTTTTAGTTTTTATAATTGGATCCTTTCCTTTGGCACGAGCATTAATTATGTCTGCTGTCTGTACTTGCTATATTTGGAAGCATAGTTATTTCCATGACGATGAACTTGCTCTTTAGGGCTTCCATTAAGTAACTTTGTCAAGGACTTTCATATTTTTCTAAATCTGCTTAAATTTTGTGGACTCATCAACACTGGTTTTATGATTTTGTTCGGCCTTTCAAATAGTAATGGTTGCAAGTCGGGATTCATGCTTATTTAATGAAATTTTCTGGATCTGATTTTTCTTAATGGAGTTTATTTTTTGAATTTATAACATAGACTACAATCTGTATCTTGTATTGCTCATCTAGCACAATTTATTTGCGTCTTCAAATCCGTTTTTCTTTGGGTGTCATGCTTTGATGCCTCAGTTTTTCTAATTTATGGTGAATATTATAGTATGCTCATAGTTAATGATTTTGAGTTTAGGGAGCTGCTGATTTGTTTTTTACTTTTTCCTTCTGCTAGGTTGTTTTTGTGACGACAGCATCTTCTGGCTTGTGTAGGATTTAAAGCCATACAGGGGCTGTGGAGAGATATCATTGGTCGTTGTGGATCACTGTTAGAATTCTTTTTTATTTTGCCTGTTAGGTGGTGTGGAATTCCCTTCACGATCTGTCAACTATTACAGTAATTGCTACGTGATTATTGAAGAATGAGGGGAAGAGCTGATGGAGGTCAAAAGAAGCACCTGGTGCTATCCGTTTTTGTTGTTATGCTAATTTTAGGATTTCTATTTATCTACTATGGTGGCCATCGAGGGCGGCATGCTAGCAGTGCTTTAGATTATGGAACCAAATTCTCAAGGTCATTAGGTTGGGGTGGCAATGATGATGGAGATGCTACTAAAACAAATGAGCCTGTTTTCGGACTAGAAGATGGAGATGAAATTATCACACCCAGGAGCTTCCCTGTGAGTGATTTTAGAATCTCCAATCTAATTATTAGTAGTTGAATAATGTTTCTAGCTTGACCATTCTTCTCTACAAAACATAAATACGTGATTCATATTTTCTTTTTTCTTTTCCATCAAGGTATGCGATGATCGTCACATGGAGTTGATTCCTTGCCTGGATAGGAATCTAATTTACCAAACACGATTGAAACTGGACTTGTCTTTGATGGAGCACTACGAGAGGCATTGCCCACAGTCTGAGAGGCGCTTTAATTGCTTAATTCCTCCTCCACGTGGCTACAAGGTCATCAGTGCTTTCTGTTTATAACATCCAACATTTCATCAAAATTTCCCATTAAAATGAAATTTTTTTGTTTGTGTAATTTACCTTTACTCTACATACGTTAGATTCCAATAAAGTGGCCAAAAAGCCGAGATGAAGTTTGGAAAGCAAACATACCTCACACCCACCTTGCACATGAGAAGTCTGATCAGAACTGGATGGTTGTGAAAGGTGACAAGATACAATTTCCTGGCGGCGGCACCCATTTTCACTATGGAGCTGACAAATACATAGCCTCAATTGCAAATGTTAAGCTACTTTCTTCTTATATCCATTTTTTCAGTAGGGATTAAACTTTTATAAAGTACTTTTACTGCCCTTTTATAAAATTTTCTAACATTTAGAGATTCGTTTATCCACATAGACCTTGAGAAATTCATCATCAAGTACAATCTCTTTCACATTGCATTGTTTTCTGCTTAACAGTAAAATCAACAATTAACTTACCTCATTATATTTGACAGATGTTGAACTTTCCAGACAATGTAATAAACAATGAAGGAAGATTACGAACAGTTTTGGATGTCGGCTGTGGAGTTGCAAGTTTTGGAGGATATCTTCTGTCATCTAATGTTATAACAATGTCTTTGGCTCCAAATGATGTGCACCAAAACCAAATTCAATTTGCTTTAGAAAGAGGAATCCCGGCCTTTCTAGATGTTTTAGGAACATGGAGATTGCCCTACCCTAGTAGATCATTTGAACTTGCTCACTGTTCCCGTTGTAGGATTGATTGGCTTCAAAGGGATGGGATTCTTTTACTTGAGCTGGATAGACTACTAAGACCAGGAGGTTATTTTGCTTATTCATCACCTGAAGCATATGCTCAAGATGAAGAGGATTTGAGAATATGGAGAGCAATGAGTGCGCTTGTGGATCGCATGTGTTGGAAAATTGCTGCTAAACAAAACCAGACAGTTATTTGGGTCAAACCACTAACGAATGATTGCTACATGGATAGAGCGCCGGGTACTAAGCCTCCTTTGTGCAGGTCCGATGATAATGCTGATGCAGTTTGGGACGTCAAAATGGAGGCTTGCATTACTCCTTACTCTGAACGTGAGTACTCTTTTGAGATATTGTTATATTTATAGTATTTTCCCTTTATATCCACACTCTTAGTTGATTTTACTATTTCGGAGTACTTAAATTTGTTTGTAGTTTTATCTTTGCTCAAAGTTGATTATCTTCCCATTGAGGTAGGTTCCTGTGGTCCTTATAGATTTGCCCCAGACAGATGTCTTTTTTAAAAAAAAAATTACATTTTTTAACATTTGACTGTGTATGATATTTAAAGCTGCAGCTATAGAAAACAATTTTTAGGTTGTAAAATTTTCCTACATGACCGCCTTATGAAACAGTTTTAGCTTCTTGAGTACTCAGTTATCACAATATTGATCTGCATTAATAAACGAATTTTTGTTCCAAAATTTTTATATAATAATAGAAAACCATTTTTAGGTTATAAATTTCTTATACATGACCACCTTATGAAACGTTTTTTAATTGAGTACTTAGTTGTCATAATATTAATTAACATTAGTAAACGAACTTCTGTTCAAAAATTTTTATATAGTAATAGAATGAATCTTATCCGGTTCTGGTTTTTTTCTGAGTTTGAAGTTAAATGTTGTTTCTTAGGCGTGTGCAGCTTTACTTGTCAACAGAACATATCTTTTCTTTTTCATTATATCAGTGTTTTTAGAACTAGATGCTGGTGATCTGTTTGATCGACTTAGGATAGAATTCTTCATATATTGCTTAAGATAATTGGCCATATGGCATGAACCCTAGAAAATCAGTCTAGTATTTACCAACTTGGCATGAATCTCTCCTTCCCTCACAGTATTGTTGGGTTTCAATAATTTCATAAAATGCATAACAATGTGAACTAAAATATTATGGATATAATAGAGTTATTCAGGAACAACTAGATTCAGGATTGATCTTGATTGATACGTAAATGTGTGATTGTAATTTCAGATTATACCTACGTAGTATTAAAAAAAAAGGATTTTTACGCACATAGCACTTGGAACTTTGATATTTAAATATGCAGCACCTCAAATTTTATAGTTACGGACACAACACCTCTCCATTAAATTTTTAGCGGCGTGAAAGATAGAGAGAGAGAGGAAGAAGCGGATGGGAGTTTTGGTAGCTTTGCCTGACATACATGAGTGAGAGGATGAAAGGGGAGGATTTTTTTTTTCTTTTTCGGCTGTGAGAAAAGAAGGTGAGGGGTGCATGAAAAACAGGGAGACGGAGAGGAGAAAACAAGGAGTGGGCTGGCAGCTCGTCGTCGAGCCGGCGTGAGATGTGTGGGTCGCCGGTGATGAGTTGGAGTTGATTGGAGTTTGGAGCGACTCGGTGAGAGGAAGAGAGGATATTCCGACTAGCGAGCGTGAGAGAGAAAGGGAAGGTTTTTTGGCGGCATGAGGAAGGTACCATGGTTAGCGTGTGTGGGAAAGATGCCTGTCTTTTTCACCGGTGGGAAGGGAGGCTGTTGGGGTGCGGCGTGCAGCATGCGGCGTGTGGAATGGCCGGCCGTGGGATGACCGACTTGTGTATTGAGTTCGGCATGGACGGAGGAGCACATGACGGAGAGTGGCGACGAGAAGGAGAACTTAATGGAGAGGTGCTATGCTCGTAAATATGAAGTTTGAGATGCTGAATATGTAAATATCAAAGTTTCATGTGCTGTGCATGTAAAAACCATAAAAAAATAGTGTTAGAATGAATAATATAAATAAAAACCTTATGGTGCTGAGGATTGGGCTTTACATATAAGGTTTATGGAACCAATAGAAATATTTGAGTAAGAAAACAAGGATTCTGTGTGGAAGCTGAGAAAGTTTAATATGTCAATCTAACTGAGAGGAGATATGGATGAGCGGGTAGCCTGCTATTTGGAAACCTGTACCCTATTCTTTCGGCCTGATAATGGAAAGGGGAAAGAGATGGGGGAGAAAGAAAGAGAGAGAGAGTAAGGTGAGAGCCTTGATCAAATTTAAGAGAAAAATAAACCAAGGAAAATAATTTGTCCTCTGCCATGTGAATTTTATAGCTTGAAGGCCTCTTATTTATAAAAAATATAATAATTCATATTTATCCACAATTAATCTATATGTAGAAAATTAGAAATTTTTTTGCCAAATATCTCAACAAGCATTTGGATGATGTATGACCATCTCTTGCAAATGCTAAAAAATGTGAAAATTTCTTCTAGTTGGTAATATCATAAAAAATTAATTATCGGTTAGAACTCAAGTCTTAATTTGCTTCATTGGCCCTATGGTAAACCTAAGATGATAATTACTTTTATAAGGAGTTTTCTGCTACTTTTTCCTACATTTCTCTTTCAAGTGTACACTTAAATTGAACACATTAAAATTTATTTCATAATAATGAGATAATTTGCTTCAAAAATTTTGATTGTATATTTGAATGATGAAATCCATAAAAGATTTCATGCCCAGTCTGAATTAAAAATCATTATCCATAATATGCCATGTTTGCAATTTATATTATATTTGAAATTGGAGACTTTGTCTAAAGTTGTGAGGTTTTGTATTCACCTTTATAAAAATGCTATTTTGTTTTTAATTCAATATGACATTTTGCCTCTTAAACCTTATATTGAGAATTATAACTTGCTTTTAACAGAGCATCATAGAGATAAAGGTAGTGGATTGGCTCCATGGCCTGCTCGACTAACTACTCCTCCACCACGACTCGCTGATCTTGGTTACACTGCAGAAACTTTTGAAAAGGACACAGTAATTTCTATACCTCTATGATCATTTTTGCTTATTTTTTATCCTTGGAAAACTCTAGTAATCCTTCATGCATGATACTCTCTTTTTTATATCTTAATTATTTACCAAGATGCATAGTATAGGCTACTGCCATTGTAGAAGAATTTAATTTGCTCTATTGCATGTGCTACAGGAGATTTGGCAACATAAAGTTGAGCATTATTGGAGCCTATTAAGCCCTAAAATAAAACCAAACACTGTAAGAAATATCATGGATATGAAAGCAAATATGGGATCATTTGCAGCAGCATTAAGGGATAAAGATGTTTGGGTTATGAATGTTGTGCCACATGATGGGCCGAGCACACTCAAAATTATCTATGATAGAGGCCTCATAGGCACTGTTCATGATTGGTAAGCTCCATCCTCGGTTCTTTTTTGTTTCTAACATTGCATTTAATTCTTGGGAAATTTATATACGTAGCACACAATTCCTATGTATTTACATATTTCACACTTAAACTTTCATAATTACATATATAACACTTTGATGCTTTAATCATATGCATGAAAATGCGTATTTCACTTTTAAAAAGTGATAATAGTGCTTTTTTTGACATGTTAATGTAAGTTGAGGTATGAGGTATGTAAAACACATAAGAATTGATGCCCCTTAATTCTTCTATGTTTCGAGTGATTTTAATTATGCTAGGAGAAGAGAAAAAAATTCATCAAATTTTTTAAATCTGAGAATAAAAGTTGATTAATCTTAGTTGAACATGTCCAAAATATGCCGGTCAAGATACTAAAGCATCATCTATTGAACTGAACACAATCAAACATAAAATCTACCAATCCAATATATACTCGTGATTGGATATAAATTATAGAATATATATGTCACACATTACATACATATAAATGCATATATAAATATGATCAAGTTATCACCAAGCTAACGAAGACTGAACAAGACCTTATTCGTTGCATGCTAAATTTACAAATTTGTCAAAGTTAGTTGGATTTGATTCAATAATCGAACTGAACACGATCGGATATAAAAGCTAGGTTTTACTGACGACCTTATTTGTGACTAATGAATGATCTCTTGCTCTTTTCAGGTGTGAATCATTCTCATCTTACCCTCGTACATATGATCTCCTTCATGCATGGACTATCTTTTCTAGCATTGAGAAGAGGGGATGCAGTGCTGAGGATCTCCTCCTGGAGATGGATCGAATTCTTAGGCCAACTGGTTTCATTGTTGTTCGGGATTCTCGTGCCTTTGTCGACTTGATTATCAAGTACTTACCAGCACTGCATTGGGAATCTGTTGCAGTAGTGGACTCAGAGTCAAATTCAAATCCAGAGGACGGAGAGGTTATCCTTGTAATTCAGAAGAAGTTGTGGCTTGTGGAAGAAAACCTCAAGGATTTCAGATGAAGATACTACAATCTTATTTCAGGCAAACCAAGTATTTTGGCCTCATTATAGTTTCTATTTTCCTTTCAACTTTTATTTATTTCAGCCTCAGTATTGTTAGAATCCCAAGGTTAGTTGTGGTATTTTTGTATGTTTTGTTTAATTTTTATTTTTTGGTGTTCTTCAGGTTTACTTGTTGAACTTAATAGCTTTTCACATGGAATAAGAAAATAATGTTTCCATCAGGCTTTATAGGTAATGTGGTAACTCATTTTTTGGTAGTCTCTTGTTAATTTTTTCGGGCTTTATCTTTTTATTTATTGAGGATCATGATGATAAATAAGCCACTTCATGTCAAATCCTATTCATATATTGTTGTTTTTATTTTATTTTATTAAGAGGTATGATTGACTTAAATCTATATTAGTAATTGAGTTGTTTGAAATTTATTGTGCAAAGATTGGAGGAATTTATTCTTAATTTTGTTAATCAAAATTTGATAATTATTTCTAGTAAAAAATGAGTTAGGATAAGCCTTGGCGGTTCTATTTTTTATATTTCAATGAAACAAACACAAGCAATCAAATACAAAAGGTTTCATAGGTTTTGATGCAACAATGTTTGTGATGCAAAAAAGATTATGCACACGCTTTGATAGAGATAATGATTGTGATGAAGTGAGGTTGAAATATAGTTTTGAGAGGGTGTCGACGATTTAGGCAAGATTCTGATGCTTGCTTTGATGCCAGAATTATTGTAGTTCAAATGAGGTTATGAATTGTGATGTAGGTCTTAATGAAGTGTGATTGTAGCACAAATATGGTTTTGATGCTAGTCTATGGAGATACTTGTGGAGAAAATGAGATTGCACAGAGTTTTAAGGGTGACACTTAGTGCAAGTAAGGTTGTTGCACATATTTTAACGCATTGATGATTGACTTGAAGGAGTTTGCAATGCGGATGTTGATGAGATGCAAGCGCGGTGTAAGAGGTTGTAATACAGGTTCTGACTATCATCATATCTTTTGAAGTGTGGAGGAGGGCAGTGGGGTGATGCTAGAAGCATAATCGTGGAGTGTCATATTATTTTTCCATTAAAAATGAGGTGATAATATTAATGTGCTTTTTGCATAGGGCATTTTATAAGAAGATATAAGAAAATATCAATTGAGGCAAACAAAGACCAACTAGTCATATTAAAATTTGTGTAAAATACTTTTTTTAGATTTATATTATCAATTTTATGTGTTGAAATTATGACAATTTGGTTCATTTGTCTATCAAAAAATAATGTGTCCCTTAAGATTAATTACACTCTCAAATTATCTCCAAGTGACACTTTGGACAAAAGAATCATGATAGTTCGATGCTTCAAATTTGGTACATATTAATGAAATATCTACTATGAAAATCAAAAGAAATGAATGGGCTCAAAAAGGGTTGAATGATTATTTGTCAACCAATATGAACAAAACTTCATTGATTTGTCATTCTAGGTCATCAAATTCTAGATCATTTAGCCGTGAAAGTAGTTGATCCAACACGGCAGTAATTTGGCTTATGAAAATAATGAATGCAAACTAAATTTTTTTTCCTATTAAACAAGTAAAAGGACATTCAAACAATATATGTTTTAGCTAGTCAGAACATAATAACCTTTTTTTGTTTTTCAAAACAATATTGTTAAGACAAGCTATTTAAAACAAAATCATCTCATCAAGTTTATTTTGATCTTTTAAAAATTATTTTCTCACAATATAGATTTCTTAATTTAAGTTTGCTTCGCAACATAAGTTTCTTGAATCAAAATTTAACCTATCAAATTTCGCAAGCAACTTTTATAATATGCAAGATCAAGTTTCTAAAAAAATTGGTTAAAATATTATACATCACACTAACAAGATTCTAATAGTAAGAAACTAATGAATGTAACAATATGTTATGTAAAATAACTTCAATTCAAATCAATTCTATTATGATCTCACGATAATAGTATACATCCATTCCTCGTTAACCATTATAAGGAGGAGAAGCCAACTCTTCCATGGGCAATGAAAAAAGCCTAGACCCTCTCTTCTACTCAAAGTGAAAAGATTGTTAACCTAGCAAATTAGTTTGTCACACTAAATTTAAAAAAGCTTTGGAGTTCCATAATTTCTTAAAAGGGGCCATTACATACAGACTCACTGAAGCTTGTTATTTACAAATCAACCACCCCATTCATTCATTTTTCAAATTGTCACTCAAATATCAAAATTCATTGGAAAACCCCAACCGATATATATATTTTTTTATTTTATCAAAATTCTCAATAGTTCAATCGCGGCACGTGTAAATACATCGCTTGTAAATACATCGCTTTGGTAGTTCAAGAAAATCACTTGGGTGGTTAATTTGTAAATATCAATGTTTCGGGTGGTTTGTATGTAATTATCTCGTCTTAAAAGTAAAAATCTATGCATCTTAAAATAGCCACATTTTTAAATTATGAGGATTAGAAGATATATAAAAAAGAAATAATCAATTGTGCACTCTCACACGAAAACTTCCTTAAGTTTGCCAATAGAGGATCAAGAAGTTTTTGACGAGAAACCTCTCTTCTTTCCTTTTTTTCATGGCTCACAAAATGTCTCTCACATTTAGGATTTAATATGTATGATTCATGCTATGATTAAATGAAAATATGACACATTTCACATTTCATGCTAAGGTTCCTCCACCTCAAAATATAATCTACCAGAGTTTCCCCAGATTTTTGTTTTTCCATCATAAGTTCTCCAATGGAAACATGACGTTCCGCACCAGCGAACCTCTTTATGAACAACTGTTTCAATTCTGTAAATGTTTTAACCGAATCATTGGGTAAATCGGCATACCAGTCAAAGGCAACCCCTGACAAACTGGTGACGAACTGTTGACAAAGCAAGGCTTCATTACTTCTTGTGACACCACAATTAGCTCTGAAATGTGCTAAATGCTGTCTGGGATTTCCAGTCCCATCGAATATTTTGAAATTCGGGGTGTAAAACCCTTAGGAAAAGGTACAGTGTCAAATTCCTCTGGGTAAGGTCTACCCTTTAGAATTAATGCACCTCCTTTGGATTGTACTAAAGCATCACGAACTTGTTCAACCATTTGTTTGAAATCTTTTTCGGGAATGGTTGCTGATGTAGAATCTTTTCTTTGTTGCTCTTCTTTGTTTGCCGATGTTACTTCTCTTCTTTCTTCTGTAATATGTACAACCTCTGGTCGATTGACATCTGGAGATGCTGACTGCGGTATTTGTGACTGACCTTGAATTGCGGCCATAGCGGTCATAGCAGCGGTCATTTCTTCTATCTTTTTCTCCAATGAACTAACAAGTTCATCGTTTTGGAGAAGGGCTCTTT